CTGGAATGTTAGCATCCAAAGACTGGGGGGAGAGGGAAGGCAGAGTTAGGATGTTTAATGGGTACAGAGGTTCAGTTTAGCAAAATGAAAAAAGAGAGAAGGAGCCTTATGGAGGGATGAATATGTACTCTGGGTTGAGCATCAACCTAGAAACCAGGAGGTCACAGTTTGATTTAGGGTACGGGAACCTGCCTGGGTTGCGGGCGCCATCCCTAATGTGGGGCATGCAGGAGAGAGCCAATCACTGATTCTCTTATCGTTAATGTTTCTCTCTTTCTCTCTCTCCCTCTCTCTCTCTCTCTCTCTCTCTGCCTTATCTTTCCTTTCTGAGGATATTATTTTAAAAAATATATAAATGAAATTCATAATGATGATAAAAATAAATTAATTAACAACCATGTCCAGTTTCTCAGTGGTTGGAGTATCAGTCCACGGAACAAAAGGTTGAGGGTTCAAATTCTGTTCAAAGACACATACCTCCATGGTAGATTTGACACCCAGCTTCCAGGCAGGGTATGTGTGGGAGGCAACCAATCTCTCTCTCTCTCTCTCTTTCTCTCTCAGCCTCTCTCTCGCTCTCCCAAATCTCCCTAAAAATCAATGGAAAAAATTCCTCTGGAGAGGATTAACAAACAAAAACTTAAAAATTAAATAAAATTACCAAATGGTCCAGCAGTGCCACTTCTGGGTATATACACACAGAAATGGAAAGCAGGGTCCTGAAGAGCTATTTGGGCATCTGTGCTCACATCTCAGATGGAAGCAGCCACTGAGGAATGTGCCTGGAGAGATGAATGGATAAGAAGAAAAATGGAGCCTAGACATGTACCATGGAATAGTGTTCAGCTTTTAAAATGGAAGGAAATTCTGACACGTGCTCCCAACATGGATGATGACCTTTGAGGATATAATGTCTCATGATATCAGCCAGGCCCAAAAAGGCAAGTTTTGTAGAATTCCACTTTAATGAGGTGGTCAAACTCACAGAGACAGAAAGTGAAAAGTTGGTGTCCAGGGACTTGGAGGAGAAGGAAGGGAGAGTTCGGGTGTAACATGGGTTCAGAGGTTCCGTTTAGCAAGATGGAAAGGGGGGAGGGAGCCTTATGGAGGGATGACCATGTGTTGCAGCTCCCCAAAGAAGAGAAGGCAGAGGACAAGGAGCCACTGCGTCTGACCGCTCTGTCCCCTGGGCAGGAGGCATAGAGGACCTCTCATCTCACCAAGCAACACAAGGAGACGCAGTGCCACACACCCCGGGTCCTGGCAGACAAGTGCCGGGACCCATATTCAATCAGAATTGTGCTCCACCCTGGGGGTGGGGGGGAGGGGAAGGGACAAGAGCAGGGAGAGTGAGATGTGTGTGACCCCTCCCACAAGGTCAGTGTCCCTGACCCCTGTCTTGCTCCGGACTTGGGCTGTGCCCTCTTGACCTGTGAGAGCCTTGGTTTCCTCCCCTTGGCCCAGAGGCAGGCAGGGTTGTCGGGTGACTCTGGGGCACTCAGTGGCCTGGCACAGGGAGAATTGAGCAGAGGATGGGGCTCACCCCCTGAACTCAGAGCTCCCTCCCGTTGACTCGGTCCCGAGGGAGCTCTGGGATTCTAGGAGCCAGTCAGTCCAGAGAAGATCGGATTAAGTAGGGTGGGATCAGTGTGTGCACCTGACTCCAGGTGCCCTGGGTTCTGAAAACCAATCTAGAGAAGATGTGATCAACTACAGTAGTATTCATTGGCTGAGCGAGTTAATCTGCTTGGAGGCGGGGCTTTCCGCCAGTATAAGAGCTGAGGGCAACCAGCCTTGGGCCCAGCAAGAGGATGGACCGGGAAGTGGCCGCCAGCACCTTCCACAAGATGCGGGGCCTGGAACCCGGCCCTGGAGCCGGTCTCCACAAGGGCTTCCAGACACCAGAGCCCAGGAGAGTAGGACCATGTCGGCACCCGGGGGAAGTGAAGCAGTGCGAGCTCCAGCCCTCCTGAGGGCCACGGCACCGAGCTGGTTTCCTCCCGGCCACCTGCAAGCTCAAGAGGCCGAGCTGGATGCCTCCTGTCCTACCGCCATTCTGGTGCCTCTCCCTCCCTGCCAGGGGCCCTGCCATCAGCCTGTTGGCCCCGGCGGCCTGCTCCCGGTGCCCCCCACAGACAGCTGGGCCCCCAAATACCTCCTCACCCAGCCAGCGTCTGTGAGGAGAGGCCTGGCCCCCCGCACCGGGCTACCCACCACCCAGGAGCTGTGTGACCTGCTGCAGGTAGCACACAAGCCTTCCATGGAGTCAGTCAGCCTGCCCCAGGCAGCCCAGCAGCCGGCCCCAAAGCCCCGGTCCATGCACCTCTCAGCCGCCAGAGACAAGAAGAGGATTGCCCGCGTCCCCATGCCCTGCCTGGGTGAAGGTGCCAAGAGGCGCCTCCTGGCCAGCAGTAGCAGCAGCCGCCCGCCTTCCAAAAAGCAGGGGCTGGGCAGCCAGCTCCCAGAGGCACCCGCCCCATCGGGCCAGGCGTCCATGGCCACCAGCCCAGTGCCCCCAAAGCGCGTGGCCCGCGGCCCACCTGTGCAGACTTCTCAGAAGCCCATTCCTCCAACAGAGTGTGGGGGCAAAGTGCCCGCCATCACCCCTCAACGCCGTCTCCGCCTCTTTATGGACGAGGGTCTCAAGTTCTGCT